CGCCATCAGTCATTTGACAAAACATCGGCAAGAAATCCGTCAATTGTATGTATTTTAAGAACATTTTCTCTATACTTGCAATCAATTTGGAATTAACAATGATCACTTACTAGTAATTACACAGTTTTTTTTATCAATACCTTTGAACAATTGATTTTTAGCATCTACACCTGAATGTTTTCCTATTTCGGGGCAAATCCTGGAAGTTGATGAAACCTTGCGGATTTTAGATATAGAGAATTCTGGATGATATTTTTAGAGAATTTTGCAATAATCCCCTCCTCTCTGCCCTTAAAAAAACTATTCAAATATACTTGGTTTATAAATTTGTATGCCAGACGCACGTTTCGATTACAAAAGACACGAGTGACGCTCAAAATGCTAATGATTTCTAAACATTGCTGTTGAAGACAATATTGATAAAATGATTTTTTAAACACGTGAGTGATTTCCTAATGTCCATGCACATTCAGGACAACCATTAAAGACGCCGTTAACCGAGCATTAACCAAAATAAGTAGATATATATCTCAAGGAACGTACCGAGTTTGAGGCCAAACCTCTTTGCATTAAAAAAAACCAAAACAGGCTTTATTTTTATGTTTGATATTAGTGTTTGTCAAATCAATTTGCTTATCAACCGACGATTGTTAATTCGATAGCATCGTGTTCGAAGAATATTTTTATTATCCACAAATATTTTGTTGAAAAAATAAACCCAAAGACTTTTTGCACGGACCATGTGAAAAATCATCATGAATAAGTATATAACATAATCTAATGTACCGTATCTTTATATCGTTTAGGATTTGTAACAGATTTACAAGGCCGGGAAAGGGAAACTCGAATATTTCCATATCCCTGTCTGGTAAATCTGTTATAAATCCCAAATAAAGCTGTAAATATGACTTACAAAAATGAAAATAACACTTTACAAAGTGCATGCGTCCAAAGCGCTTTTCTGGATATACCTTCATCATGAAAACTCAAAGCCGAATATTTAAAAGCCATGTCTAAAATATCTCGCATACATTTAATGTCTTTGTAAATTTTACTTTCAATTGAGATGTATTCTGATAGCAGAAGATAATCCAATATGAACAGTGTTTTTTTTTTGCCTGTTAAAAAAAAAGATCCTCGTCAGTTCATGTTGTTACATGTCTTAATGTTTTATTATTCAGTGAATTTGGTGTTTATAGCAGATCTTTCTTACAATTTATTTAGACTCGGAACAATTTACAGCTTGACACAGTCATGTGTATTGCTTAAAACTATACATTAACCTCTAGATTACTTTTGGTTATTTGTATTTCTGAGTTTCGGTATCATAAATATATACCCACAATTGCAACTCTATTTATTGGTTGAAAACAAAACACAATCACTTGTCGCACTTTAAATAGTATTGATCTTCTCTTTCTCGTTCAAGTTTGCCAAAATTATCTAAGATGTAAAAAGACTCAAAAAGCGAAAATCAAGTATCTATTTCTTTTCTCAGTTCACTGTGCCTTTTTTTCGCGAAGTTTATGGGATGAAGCCCCTCTTAATGTAAGCTATGTATATTGTTATAAGTAGAGAGTTACTACAATTACGAACAATTTTCGTAGCTATCACATCAGTTTTCCATACTTATGAAGTCTTTTTGATAAGATAACACAACTACAAATGCAATATTATACGATGGGCATCTGTATATCATTATTCGCGAGGGTTTATAAACTTCTGACTAAAATGACATTTCCCTTATTGTACATGATGATTTAACTAAGAAGATTACAAATAATAATTATAATTTACTTTTTAATTAATAGGGTGATAGACTGATTGATTTTTTTTGCAATATATTCAGGGGCAAATATCTTGCAGAAAACGTACCTGCATCAATTAATATAAGAAGCAATCCAACTTGCACCCGATAAATGGAATACGTGGTCGAACGCAGCAAATAAAAAAATAACCAAACAAACTAACAAACAAAAAGATAAAACAAGAAAACAACAATAAGAATAAATTAAATAAAAAACAAAGTCTATATAGATCTCAGTGCTCAATGTTTATTTTATGTCTGTCCAAAAGATGCATTAATACATAGAACGCGCAGGTCTTGGACGTTATTTTGGATGCAGATGACACTCTACACATTGACTGTTTGACTGTATATACATATACAGGAACAAGTCTAAATTGAAAACAACGTTCAAACCTATGATTGCGTTGGATAAAAACCGCAATTTTTATACGTGTGCATGCAAAACAAATTTCTTGGTAGAAAGGTCTAAATACAGCACAAACAACATTTTCCAAAAGACCAAAAAGTGATAAAGTATATTTTAACAAAACGCATTTGACTAACAGGTCCATGAAGATATACATAAAGGATTATAATAAACTTTGCCTCGCTTCATTGAAATATTTTAATGACCATATGGGACAATGGGTTACACACAGACAAGTAAACCATACAATTTAATTTTTTTGAATATTCAAGTATATTTTCAAGGACTACCTTGCCTTAAGTCTTAATGACTTTTGCGTGTTAAGGAGCCTTATTTGTTGTCATCCTGGGAACCAACTGTGCTCCTCCTCTTGCCGACTTGTTCCTTCTTTCATATGAGGTTTACTTCATACAAGAGCTTCTCAGTAAGAATGAAGGAAGCTAATATCACCATTAAACTTCACGTTCCGCTATATAGCCGATGTCCTATCACAACATTAATAAAATTTTGGTGAATTTGTTGACCATAATCCAGGCACATATACAAGGTATTTTAAAAAAATTACATTATATAGAAATTTAATAAAACAAGTATAACAAATTCCAAATGTTAAACAATATAAAAATAAGAAGATATGGTATGAATGCCAATGAGACAACTCTCCACAAGAGACCAAATGACACAGAAATTAACAACTATAGGTCACCGTCCGGCCTTCGACAATGAGTAAAACCCATGCCGCATACTCAGCTTTAAAAGGCCCCGAAATGACAAATGTAAAACAATTCAAACGAGAAAACTAACGGCCTGATTTATGTACAAAATAATGAACGAAAAACAAATATGATATACAGCAACAAACGACAACCACTGAATTATAGGCTCCTGACTTGGGACAGGCACATACAGAATGTGGCGGGGTTAAACTAGTTTGAAGGCGCGCCAACCCTCCGCCTAACCTGGGAAAGTGGTGTAACAGTACAACATAAGAACAAACTATTAAAATCAGTTGAAAAGGGCTTAACTCATCAGATCGATCCAAAGCAAAAATACATCTAACAAAAACACAGAGTGGACATAGCAGGGTACTTATACATCCCGACAACAAAAAGACACTAGTACAGCTCTGGGAATACTCGCAGTTATGACAGCTAGTTCAAAGCCAATAACAACTAATAAAAAAATCATGCATCTAAGACTAAAATATCAATCAGTACATATCCAACATCCAATGGATTTAGTGTGAAGACGTCATTAACAGTCAGTGAAGACGTCATTAACAGTCAGAGAAAACATGACCGTGTGCAATGCCAAGATACAGGTATATGAAAGCTTTAAATTTGAACCATACTTACGACTATTATTTTCCTTTTGGTCGTATGACACTTGACGATATTTTTGCATCCAGCTATCCGGTTTTTGGCTTCGGACGTTCTTGACACGGGTGGGTTCAGAGACACGATTCGAACGCATGAGGTTTTAAAGGTTTGTTTTTAATTTTGTCAACCCTTAAATTTATATTTTGCTTAATTCTTACTCTATCGGGAAAGTGTATATGAAATTATGATTTCCTATACTGTATGTTCTATCAACTACAAAAACCTTTTTTTGTTGGTGTCTTTTCCGTTTTTATTTGTATGTTTGTTTGAATGTTTAAATCTTTTGTGGCTGTATGTTTTTGATGAGTTTTTTCACAGTCTTGACTGCTGGGTCCCAATTATTTTGGAATATATATATATATAACCAGAAATTCGTTTTCAAAAACATTCCACTTTAAGATTGTTCATAGGATTCTACAATGTAATTTGTTTTTATTGAAATGTAAATTCAAAGAAACTGAACTATTTACATTTTGTTTAGAAATCAGAGAAACAAATTTTTCACATTTTTGGGAGTGTAATGTTATACAAAATTTCTGGCTATTCATAATAGACCGGATTAGAAATTATGACATTTTCTTGCCTTTTAGCGCAAAAGAAGTAATTTTAGGTGTGTCTGAGGATTTTGTCAACATTGAAACAGTAAATGATATTTTGTTGCTATTTAAATACTATATATACAAATGTAGATCTAAGAACATATTGCCCACAAAATATGGTGGGAAAGAATATTCAAAGTATTGGATTAATGTAGAAAAATACTCTGTATGTTTCTTAACCCCTGCACAAAGAGTAAAAATGGATCAGAAGTGGCATTTGATAGAAGCATCTTTTAATTAACAAAATCAATTGTAATATATATATATCTTATTATATCATTATGACTTAATCGATTTTACAAGTGTTATTAATTTTCATAATTTGTGTCTAATACTGTAGTATGTGATTTCACATGTTTCACCATGGACAGCAAGAGGACATTCAAAACGCATAAGTCGAAGAAAAACTGACAACGGCATGGAAAAAACAACGAAAAGACAACCAAAACATTACATAGAAAACTAAAACTGATTTGGTGTTAACATATAAGTCAAAATATCTAAATTATTTCGATGTTAAATATCCTGACGTCAATATTCTGAATTTCTAAATATTGGTAATAACCATAAGAATTATCACTTTTTTTCTTAATTTATTTATTTATTTATTCACCCACCTATGATTTGGTATTTTCTTGAAAAATCACACCTCGCCCATCCTATAAGTCAGTCATTTCGTTAATGATAGTTTGGTTATGACGTAAAATAAAATGAAGGTGCTAAAAATAATCTTTTACATGATCAAACAAAGCATATTTAAAAAAAAAATCTTTTAAATCCAAAGCAATATTTCAAACTGACTCGAGGACAAGAACAGTTCTCTTAGGTTTCAATATTTTTATCTGACTAGCATTGTAAAATGGGAGCAGGATTTTCAAAAGATGATGAAAATGACAGGACTGGTGCTTTATTTCAGGCAATACGGAGAGATCGATTTCAGCTGGCTACAGAACTAATCTCAAAAGGTGCAGGGGTAAACTGTATGAATAACTTTGGTAATACACCACTTATACAAACATGTCGAAACAACCGGACATCAAACAGGACAGGGAGGGCAGTTGAATCTGACCGAGAACGTTTTGTCTCATTCCTTATCAGCAATGATTGTGACATGAGCAAATATGATATATATGGATGGACAGCTCTTATGTATGCCGAGAAGAATGGCCATGATAACATCATTGATATTTTGGAGAAAAAGGATATAATGTGTAGTGACGGTAAGAATTCTTAATATTTAAGCTAATAAATTAGTTATTGATAGTTATTTGTGCTTCATTTTTTTTTATACTTTCTCTCTTTTTTTTCAAATGATAAAATTTATGAAGAATTTTCAAGAAAAGCAATTTTGGCTTCTCGAGTTAGTTTCTGTGAAAATTGAGAATGTAACTTTCATATTGCTCTGGTGGTAAAATGGACATAGCAAATTTTCTCTAAAATATTATTTAGTAAGGAACATAGGACTTGAATTAAAAAAATATTTATGTCATAAAATTAATTTTCTTGTATATACTTTATTTCAGATACAGAAACTAAAGAGTGAGTAGCAGTCTTCCAATGGAGAAGCGGTATCTTAAACTGAAAGACGGGATAAAATATCAATACTGTTTTCAAAATAAATTTTTAATCATTGAAGTCACAATTTATTTACACAATGATGTTAAAATTGGTACGCTTTACAATTACCTATATCTAATACAATGCAAGGAGCCTCCATAACCGTTAGTAGATAGATATTAGAAGATGTGGTATGAGTGCCAATGAGACAACTCTCCATCCAAGTCAAAATTTATAAAGTAAACCATTATAGGTCAAAGTACGGTCTTCAACACGGACCATTGGCTCACACCGAACAGCAAGCTACAAAGGGCCCTTATGAACCACATCAACAAACGATAACTACTGAACATCAGAATAGTTTTGGCTTCTCAAGTTAGTTTCTGTGAAAAACGTTAGTGCATATAAAAGGCAGCATGCGGTCTGTAACAATAGACAAACGTCTATATTGTATTCGAGGCATAATTCCCCCAGTCTAGACAATTACTTCAAGAAATGGTCTCGTTTGGAAATGGAAATTTTGAAGTAATACTAAATCAAATCAAATCTTATCATCAAATTATTTGTATACTAAAGGACAAGGTTCCCTTTATGCCAAATATGGCCTTGAATTTCAACTTTATCATATAATTTCAAAATGGCCATAATTTGGTTCTTAAATGGAATTATTTCAAAAGCCTAACTTCCTTTTTAAAATAAATCTCTTCATAAGAGTACATTCTTGGCTTCAATATCAGCACATTTTGGATATATTGTCAAAATACGATGATTTTGTGCATTTTTCGGACCTAAAATCTCGAGGAAAATTTGGCCGCAGTCTTGGATCCAATATGTTCTGTAACCAAAAGTTGTTGCCAATGATGATATCGAATCCCTAGACATAAAAACCATCTGGATCATGGGTGGTGGCCAAAGTAAATTATGCTAAAAACTGTTAAGAACTATTGAACGTTACAACACAAATAATGCATACTTTCAGAGTCAATACATCATAACTTTTAATGAGGTGTGCCAACATGAAGTTATTTTGTATTGATAGTAATATCACAACTATTTCTATGTGAAATTTTGTACTATTTTGGCCTGATTAAAAAATCATCAAAATCTTAGGGCCAATTTTAACCCTTCGAGAATTTACTTGTTTATCCAGTAACAGAAGTCAATACTATTGATCTGTAAAACATAAATTTTCAAAAACCGACATTTATCATTTCAAATGATCAAACGATTAAATAAACAAATGATATACATCCTTCCAGATTCATAAAGGTTAATATTCGCAATAGACGCCAGTGTAAAAACGAGACCTGTTAAACTAAAGTCGTTGGAGTGGGGGATGATCCCTTTATTATCTCTTTGCTTAAGAGATATTTCAAAAATAGCATTTTCTATGAGAGCTTATTTCCCCTAATAAAACGTGTTCTTGATCATGCCAATACAATATTACAGCCTTAACATGTGCTAGCTGTCTACTTTAAATAAAAAGAAATTCAAAAAGATGTTTTATTCCTGTTGAAAATACCTCTTTTAAGATAAACAGAAAAAGACCCCCAAAAAATGAGGATCAATGGGACACCGACAAAATCTTGACAATAAAGAAAAAAAAAGCGAAAAGGCAAACAACAGTTTCCAAATCACTACATGAAAAATAAAAGACCCTCGGTTGATGGCATTTGTGTCGATCAGTCATTAGTATTCTATGTTTTGTTAAGTGTGGTTTGTCTTTTTGTCTTTTAGTCGTTGTTCGTTTTTTTGCCATGACGTTGTCAGTTGTTTGTCTTTCAGTCGTCGCTCGTGTTTTTTTTTAGCATGACGTTGTGAGTTGTTTGTCTTCGACTTCCAAAGTTTTCATTATTCGAAACACTGATTGTCTATCCCCTAGCATGGATTACCATATCCATATTTGACATAACATTTCAGGTTTAAATGCTCCTCACCTTCGTATTTGATTTTGCCTTCTAAATATTTTGCTTCGAGCGGCACTGATTGGTCTTATGTAGAGGCGTCTTGTGTACCAAAAATGTATATGCACTGTACATGTATTTTTCATCTGTGAATGGGCCAAAAGAAATGGCTACTAAATAAAACGAAACCATATCAATGAACTAGAAATAATGTATTGGGTTCCTGCGAAAGTCCATAAATATATGAATTATAATTGCTTTTTAAGTTATAATTCAAACTAATCCTACATAATTTCAGTGTGTTAAATTATGAGAATAACTCTAAATAAAGTGTATGCGTCCGAAACACTTTTCTGGATTTACCTTCAAATGCTAGAAAGTTGATAATGTATAAGATCCAAAACATGTGAAGAGCTATTTCACCAAAAACATGAAAAAGGGAGCCAAGAATGATTTTACGTGAGGGTTTTGGAACCTTTATTTCATACTAATTTTTTAAATCTAATTTTACCCGGACAATTTAAAAGCAAAATAACAAAAATACCGAACTCCAAGGAAAATTCATAATGGTAAGTCCTTTATCAAATGGCAAAATCAAAACATCAAACGAATGGAAAGCAACTGTCATATTCCTGACTTGGTACAGGCATCTCATGGTGGTTTAAACGCTAGCTAAACCTCTCACTTGTATGACAATCGCACAGAATTCCATTACATTGACAACAATGTGTGAGCAAAGCAAACAGACATAATAGGTAAAAATGTCAAAAATTGGAGTACAGCAGTCAACATTGTATTATAATCTTAATCACTATAAAAACAAATAAATATTTCAGAAAAGAAAAACAAAATGGCATATAGACACTCTATAGACAAAACACATAAGCAAAAATAAAAGACAAGAATACAAAAATGACCATAGCACAATAACACAATGACGGGATATATAAATACCGAGCCATGCCAAAAATATATTACCCAAAATGTAATACCCACAGTAAAAATTGAAAATATACAAACACAAATAAAAGAAACACTATAACACGTAATTAAGATGATAAACAACGTCAACGTCAGTACCTAGAATCTCTACTTCAAGACCATCATGTATTATTTGTGAAGTCGATACGGAATATTTATCAACAAGGTTTAGGTATCTTCCGATGAACTTTTTTTAGAAAAAGGACGAGACGTTCTTTGACATAACCCTGGTTCATCAACTTTCGGCTCACTAACGACATTGGTGACGGTTTATAAAGTCTGAGTAGCAGCTGCAAGCTCTTGAATACCGAAAGAGTTGGGAAATGTATATCCCATATGTAGGTGAAGTTGGTATATTGATGCTAAGGTGGGGGAAATTGATAATTTCAAAATTAAAATCGTCTCGTTTGTCATAGATTCTGGTACTTAGATGACCGCTTATGTCAAATACGAGGTATAAATCTAAAACGGAGGCGGAGAAAGCCGTGTTCTAGTTCTGGTAATATATTAATGGAACCCAATAAGAAAAGTTTGGATTATTAATGGAAAGAACATCATCAATATACCTGAATATGAAATTAAATGGTCTGGCTTCTTTGATCTTCTCGTTTTTGGCAATTGTCTAAAGGAACTCCGACTCATATGAAAATAAGAAGATGTCTGTAAGGAGAGTCGCACTTTAAGAAAGTGTGTTATTAAAAATCATGTCAGTAACGACGCACTCACCACTGATAAACGAGTGTGTGTTATCACAAACATGTAACTTAAAAATTCTTAATTAGAGAAAACAAACAAGCGACATAATTTATACTTATCTTTTGTTATGGTTCCAAATGTTTTCATTTGGAAATTCTGTTCTAGAAATCTTTATGATGTTTTAGGGGAGAATCAAGCCAATCTTTACTACAACTTCCACCCAGAGACGTCATTCCGTACAATAACTTCAATTTAATCCTCTTTTCCTAAAATGTGACATACCAAATTAGACTTATCACCGGATTTGTACTTAAATGAGCAGCACGGCGGGTTCCACATGTGAATCAGGATGTGTTTAAGCTTCCGAAGCACATGAGATCCCTCCCGGATTTTGGTGAAATTCGTGTTGCTTAGTTTTTAGTTTACTGTGGTGTTTTTTTGCCATGACATTGTCAGCTAGTTTTCTACTTATTGGTTTGATCAAGCCTTCGGTATCTTTTGCCTCTCTTTTATGGGGATGACAGGATATAAAGTTATCAGTCATCCCACTCCTTTGAGATCCAATTTGACTTGAAGACAATGTTTAATAGTCTGTAAAATAATTTTATTTAAGTGTCCAGCGCCGTTTGATATCAAAGGAAAATATCGCCATGTGCACAAAAATAAAAAATAAATAACATTAAAAGTTACTACTCATATATATTTTTGAGAACATTTTATCTATCCTTTTAACAATTGGAAAATTAACATTGATCCTTGATCGTAATTGTAGTTTTCTTATCGATTCAAATATAAAATTCGCGTATCATAAAACTATACCCCACAATTGCATCTCTATTTATTGAGAGCATATACTAAAAAACCTGAAGTGATAACCTGTTACTTTCAATAGTATTTATCCAAGTTTGCAAAGATTATTAAAGATTTTAAAAATTTAAAATCGAAAATAATTAATTGAAAGAACTCTACAAATTTCATGCTTCCAAAAGCGCTTTTATGGATTTAAATTCACTGTGCCTTTGTTCGCAAAGTTTAAGGGATGAAGCCCTCTAAATATAAGCTATATTTAGAAAAAGCAACTGCATTTGGAAAAAAATTAACTTGCACCCGATCAATGGAATATGTGGACAAACACGGCCAAATTCAAATCCATCATAACAATAAAAATAGTTATATAAAAACGAAGTCTATATAAAAATCTGTCTTAAAGAGGCACTGATACGGAGTAAGCAACGGTAGTCTCTGATGTCATGTTGGATGCATATGACACTCTAGACATTGGATTTTTGACTGTATGCATATACATGAAGATAGCCATAAAGGATTGTGATAAACTTTACTTTACTGTATTGAAAATCCCTTTTCCCCCTTGGTCATTGACTTGCAGACAGACAAGAACAAACAGATGAAAAAGTGCATATACATTGTAAACCATAAAATTATATTTTTGTTGGAAATATTCAAATTTATTTTAAAGGACTACCGGCCCTCAGTCTT